ATCATCCTGGTAGGGCGGTCTGTAACAGACACCTATGATGATGTCAGCCTTGTTGGTCTTCCCCCTGATTCTGACCCACAGGCACTCAACCTTATCGTTGCTGACCTGAAGTTCAACAGAGTCAAGAGACTCTCTAACATATAAAGCCACCCCTCCACCTCTCCTACCCTGCCTGTTCTTTCTGAAGAACTGGTAGCCTTCCATAGCAGCACTCCAGTCATGCGAGTCATCCCACCACGTTTCTGTGATGGCGATAACATCATGGCCTTCGTGCTGCACAGTGGCTTCCAGCTCCTCTTGTTTGTTGCCCATACTGCGTGCATTAGTGTACATGCACTTCAGGTGGGCTGTTGATTTAATTCTTAACTCAGGCTTTCCATCCCTAGGTTGATCACTGGAGAGCCCATTTCAACCCCTTCCCCCTTCAAACCTAGTTTAAAGCCCTCCTGATCAGCCCCGCTAACTAATGGGCTACAGTCCTCTTTTTCTTCCTAGACAGATGAATCCCATCTGATTTTAAGAGACTGGGTACCATGGAGTTTGCCCCATGGTCAAAGAACCCAAAATTTTGACGGTGGCACCAATCCTTTAGCCATCTGTTTAGGAGTTGGGCTTTTTTACTCCTCTCTTTATTTAACTCCTCATCCATCCCAGATAGTACAGAAACTGAGGCAAATATCACCTGTGCTCCTGTCCCTTGAACTGACCGACCCAGTGCTTTAAAGTCTTTTTTAATTGTCCTGGCACTTCTTTGATTAATGTCCTCACTGCCAGCCTGGACTACCACCAGTGGATAATAGTCTGAGGGCTGAATTAACTCAAGAAGTCTCTTCCTAATATCCCTCACCCTGGCCCCAGGAAGGCAGCATACTTCTCTCTGGGATGGGTCTGGGCGACATATAGGGCCCTCAGTTCCCCTCAGAAGGGAGTCACTGACTACAACTACCCTTCTTTTTTTTTTTTATACCTGTGGTTGTAATCCGTCTTTTAGACGGGGCCGAACCAGGATGCTCTCCAGAGAGATCTTCTTGGCTGTCCTCTACCTGACTGTCTGGGTCCAGGGTCTCATACCTGTTCTTCAAGGGCACCCTGGGGGGTGATGGGGGTCGAGAGAGAGTTCTTTTACCTCTCCCATTAGGGACCTGTTTCCATTGTCCCCCATCAATTTGGTCTGCTCCATCTGCCTTATGGCAGGAGGGGCAGGGCTTCGCCGTCTCTCGTTGGACTTCCTTAGGGTTCAAAAGGGTTTGACTCCACCAGTCAATTTCCTTTTCACTCTCCCTAATGCACCTTAATCTCTCTACCTCTTCCTTAAGTTCTGCTACCAGGCACAGCAAGTCACTCACCTGCTCGCATCGTACACAGCTACTTCCTACACCATCCTCCGGTACCAACGCCAGGCTCAGACACTCAGCACACCCAGAGACCTGGGTGGCTGCATCCTTCTTCGAGGGGAGCGTCTGAGCA